TTTAGTGCCAATATTTTGTTTGTTCAGAAGATGCCTTGACCAGAATTGTTAGCAGCATGAAATGGCCATATTAACCAAAAAGTTCACTTTCAGCTGCTCAGATTCCTTTGGGTTTATGCTGTGTTAGAAATGCACTAACATGTAATAGTAAGAAAAATCTATTTAGATAAGATTTTTTTAAAATTAGTTTTTCTGGTCAGCTTACTGTCTGTCAGTTCTGGTTTATGGGGGAAATCCTGATCCCTTGTGGAACTAATTTAAATCTTAGCAATGCAGATTTAAAATAGTAAAAAACCCTATAAATCAACTCAATTGACCCCAATTATTTTCACCATTTTATTATTATATAATACATACCAAGCCTAGGGCATGATAGATATGTTTAAAGGAAGGTCTGTGTATTCAGGGTGTAATAAGGGTGAAAGTTTAATAGCATTATTTTATCATTACTGTAATTCAATATGAACTGCTTACACCTAACTCTGGTAAGAAATTTCAAAATTTTTAAAAGTTGCTCAGCATATTTTATGATGATCAGAAAATATACTCCTTTTCAGCAGTTGCCAGTGGGTATTTACTTAATGAAAGACTAGTAACAATGTCATTCTGGTGGATTTTGAATTAATTAAATGAGCTAAAACCTACTTAATATCTTTCCAATTTTTATGATTGGACCCTGAATCCTTTATTTCAATCTGTGCCTTTAGATAGCATGAGAAGAGAACTGACAAATGTTGGAAACTGATAACCTCAACGACATTTAAGAAAGCTATTGCTTTCTTAGGTTTCTCCCTTCTTTCATAGCACAGTAATGTCAGAAAGCTTTGTTCTTCTTGTGCTTTAGTCTCTATTTTCATCTAAACAGAGTCCCAATCTTTAACTAGCATGGGTATTAATAGCATCATATTGCACCATCTTTCATCCTGGGCTGCCCAATGAGCTGGCATTCTGCTTGGGAAAGCACATGATAAAAGGGGAAGGGATCTTGGGTTTATGTAAAAATCATTCCCATTGAAATCAGCAGATAGCCCATGGAACATCTAAGAATTCATTATGGCCCTGAAACAAAGATCTTAATCAGGACCAGTGTAGTATTTATTATATAAAAGAAAATGCTCTTGCTTGAGATCTCAGATAAGATATCTGTTTCCTTAGGGAAGATATTTCAGGAACTTCAATTATCAGGAATAAATAAAATTGGGTTTACACTGACAGAAAGATGTGTGAATTTTAGTGCCAAAGGAGATTGGCCGTATGATCCAGTCTAACCTTTTGAGTGACAGAAGGCAGAGAAACCAAGAATACTTTTTGTGGCCAAATGCCTGTTTGTGTCTCTATTTTGGTTTCCAGTTGAAGGGAGCATCCTAAGGGTCTCAACATACATTTGCTCCCAGTTATTCTCCATGTCAAAACTGCTGGTTTCCTCTCTGCTTCAATTTGTCCAGTTTGAACTTCTGTACATTGAATATCATACTGACATTTTTCCTGCCAGATTAAGCTTCACCAGCCATCAAAAATCCTTTCCAGAGACTATTCTTCTTAATCAAAGAATCACAGAATGGTTTGGGGTTGTGGTGGGTTGACCTTGGCCAGATGCCAGGTGCCCACCCAGCCACTCTATCACTCCCCTTCCCAGCCAGACAGGGGAGAGAGTAAGGTGGAAAAAACAACTCGTGGGTTGCGATAAGGCAGTTTATTTAAAGCAAAAAGCAAAGTGGAAGCTTGCGCGTGCAAAAGCGAAGCAAAGTGAAAGCAGGGTTTATTCTCTACTTCCCATGAGCAGCAATGATCTGCCACTCCTGAGAAGCAGGGCTTCAGCACATGTGACGGTTTCTCAGCAGGCAGCCATTGGAGACAATGAATGCCCACCTTCCTGCTCCTTGCCTTAGCTTTTATATCTGAGCTGACATATGATATGGAATATCCCTTTGGTCAGTTTGGGTCAGCTGGCCTACTTGGGTCCCCTCCCAGGATCTTGCCCTCAGCTGTGGAAGGAATGTTACAGTGCTGATGCTGTGCTCAGCAGTAGCCAAAACACTGATGTGTTGTCAACACCCTTCTAGCTGCCAATTCAAAGCACAGCACTGTGAGGGCTACTGAGGGGAAATGAGCTCCAGCTCAGCCAGACCCAATACAGGGGTGGAGGGGGCCTTAAAGACCATCTAATTCCAACCCCCCTGCCATGGTGAGGGACACCTTCCACTAGACGTGGAAGAAGTTCCCTAAAGCCTCATCCAGCCTGGTTCTGAACACTTCCAGAGATGAAGTCAATGTCTGCTCTCCATGATCCAATCAACTTGTCTGAGATGAGAGTAAGGAGTGGCCTGGGCATTTAGCTGAGGGGAAGTGCATTGCATCTTCAGGAGTCAGTTATAGGCCTGGAAGCAGTGTGTTATACTGACATGCCACTCAATCTGAACTAACAAGCCCTGTCAGCTCCAATAGGTTCTGCATGGCTCTGGCTCCAGTATCCTTGCAGATGCTCCACAAGCCTCTGGTTCTGTTCCCTCCAAAACCCCTATGAAACAGAAAATCAGGGGAGTGTGATACGTAGAAATCACATCTCCAACTGTGTGAGCTTGAAGGCAAAAGCAAAACATAGTGTTCTCCTTTACCCAGGTTCTATGAGCCTCCCAATTACTTTTGGTAGCAAAGTTACCAGTAGTTTGAGCTTCGTGAGTCTCTCACTATAAGGCAAATTTCTGTAGACTTTTTATCTCTTTTTAGACTTTTCATCACAGTGGTTATCTTTTTGCTAAGTTTCTGCCTTAGAAATCCATTTTTTACTCATAATCCTACAAGAATAATATACTCAAAAGAAGAGTTAATATACCCTGCTGTTTCTGCCTGTTAGTTTCTTGCTTATGCTTTCAAAGAACATGTTCATCCTCTAAGCCAGAAGTGTGCCTGCTGAGCTCATATTCAATTAATTATCCATCATGATTCCTCAATCCTTCCTGGCATTTCAGCATTCCAGGACAGTATCACGACATGAATACATACACAGAATACATATTCTATTGTCCTTTCGCTAAAGGTACCACTCCTTGCCTAGTGTGTCACTTTAGTGAGTACTTAATCCATATAAATAGTGCCATTGTTACCTACTATTTTGAGGAAAATAGCAGGTTTTCTATATCACTGGCATTGAATGGTGTTTGATCTGCTGTCTTTCTTGAAAAGACATTCTTCTCATGAGCAGAATATATGATGATTTGCAATGTTTTACCTGTCTCCAACTTGTTATAGGGCTAAGATAGATTTAGGAGTAACTGCATTTTTTCTTTAGCAAAATATCTTGTGGGAGTATATTTAAACTTATTGTGATCAGCTGTACTAGGTCTGGCTGAGATTAATGTAATTTTCTTCATAGTAGCCTGTATGGTTCTGTGTCCTGGATTTGTGATTAAATAATGTTGATAAGACACCGGTGTTTTGGCTATCACTGAGCAATGCCTGCACAGCAACAAGGTGCATTTTTCCCCACACCCAGTGAGTAGGCTGGGGATGCACAAGAAGCTGGGAAGGGACACAGCTGGGACAGCTGACCTAAACTGACCAGAACTATTCCATACCATATGGAATAAGCTCTTAGCAATAAGAGCTCACAGAATGGAGGAGGAAACCAAGATGTTCATGGTTATAGTGTCTGTCTTCCCAAGTAACCATTCATTATGCATGCTAAGGCCCTGCTTCCCAGGAAGTGGCTAAACATCTGTCTGCTGATGGGAAGTAGTGGTTGAATTCCTTATTTTGCTTTGCTTGGACATGCAGCTTTGCTTCACCTATTAAACTGCCTTCACTGTGGCCTATGAGTTTTCTCGCTTTTGCTTTTCCAAATCTCTTCCCCCGTCCTACCGGAAGAAGTAAGGAAGCACACAAGCAACTGGGAAAGTACTTGCTGTCTGCCAGGGTCAGCCCACTGCATTAACTAACATTGTGATTAAAACTAAAATCAGCTTTGTCTGACAAACCAAGTGGCACCAGAAAAAGTGTAATCTTCCATTTACTATTTATGTTCCCTTCATCCAACCCATGATTTAGCAGTTAGTGTATGAAAGGTAACATTCCTAGAATTCTGAGTCCTATTTCCCTTTGAAACAGCAACATCAGCTTTCTTCCAGTTACCTGAAAATTTCCTAGTCTTCAAAGAATAAAAATGGTCAGGTTCAGAGAGCTCCTTACCCATTTCTTTTGATGCTCTTTTGTGTTATGTTTTATCATTGTGCAATAATTTCTCTTTGATATTGTCCCTATTAATAGTTAGACCTAAACTATTTTACTGTGGTTGCAAGATGCAGATCTCCCACTTCTCTTCAGTTTATTAATTCACTATTTACTTCTCAGAACTATTTACTTATTGTTTTCTTTTTACCAAACTTTTAGCACTGCTACGATTTCATAGATTCTTAATTTTCAAACGTTACTCTTTTCAGTCTTGCTTTCTGCTCCCTTTGGTTTTCCTTATCAATTGCCTGTGTTTTCCAAGAGCTGATTTGTACTCATGGCTATTCATGCCTCTATATTCTCCACTGTGCAGAAAAACCTATCCATGATGTAGTACTATTCCCAGTAACAATCAAGTGTTTAATCCTATGCTGATTCAAATCAATGGACCGGCTATCAGGAGGGAATCGTGCTGTAACTAAAACTGTCAAAAATGAACGATGTGTATGTGCTATCTTTATCAGCCTTCCATCCAGTCACTACCTTGCTATTTAAACTGTGACAAATTTACAGTGCTGTGTTCTCAGATTTTTGTTCCCTAATTCATTAAACTAACAAAACCTGAGTAGTTCAGACTGCATGTCATCGCTCAGCATTACTGTTTACTTGAGTTCCAACTCCTAGGCCTTTATAAACACCAAATGGAAACCAATCCTGGCCTCAAATATTTTACACAATAATATTATCCAGCTGTCTTTCTTAAGTGTCAAAAGAAAAGCAGAGGCATTTATTTCTTTGAACAGATAATCCACTAAAGCACTGCACAGAATTCATTAGAGGATTAGTTGTTTATTATGTGCGAGAGAATAGAGGATGACACTGGAAAGAAATTAAACACAGAAATACTTCCAAATAAACCCACTTATAGCAGTCTTTTCAATGCTGGATCTAGTACAAAGCTGTGTGTTAATGGACTTGTTGGTATTAGCTGTGGATTTTCTCTATGTCAATGTCTCTGTATTCCTTTGCAGGTTAGTTTCTTTCCACCGGCATCCACAATTATATTGCAGGCTTAAATGTTCCAGGTGAATGAGTTGTTCTGTTAATTCAGATCATTACTGAATTAAGGAAAGGTACCTTAACAACACAACCTCTTTCAGCATGGCAGAAATTCATGCTTGTACTGGCTACAGTAGTTAGTTTGCCAGAATTTCATTACAGCCCTTGCCAGTGCTTTACAAAATCTGGGACGCTCTTCAGCTGCCCTCACCCACTGGGGTAGTTCAAGCTGAATGGCATCAACGGTGCCAGAACTACGGGAACCAAACGTCTTTGTTATGTATCCACCACTATAATAGCTCCCATTATTTGGGCTAGGATTGGATGGAGAAGGCACACAAACATAACTGTTATTTTGTTCTTCAATATATTTACCCAAACTTCTGTTCCCTGAAACCAAGGTCTCAGAAGACACGTTGACTAGCTGATTGGACAGATGGCTAATTGAGGAACATGATGCAGAAAAAACACCTGAGTTAAGGGAAGATTTAGAAAGTGTGTAACCTAGTTCTATCCACCTTTCAGGATGTGCTTGTCCATGGATATCCAGAATCAGGCCCCCTGACATCTGTGATTTTGCAGTGGTCAAAAATCCCATATAGTCCTCCCAGGCCTGTTCTGCTTGGGGAATTCCAAAGGAGGCTTCTTCCTTTTCCCTGTTAGCATCCATCTTGAACCTCTGTAGGTGGTTTATAATGATATGTGGGAAGAAGCCATCAGTAATATTGTTGATTTCTTCAGCAAGAGTCTGAGCCACCTCTATAGTATACCTGTCTTGGTTGGTAGACACTTTGCATTTCTTATAATTTTGAATACTTCCAGGAGGACAGTCATGAGAGAAAATACAGGAGGATAACTTTGCATCCCAACAGGCAGCCTCTCGATCAGGGATGTCTTTAGGTTCCATTGACCCACCATGTGGGACAGAGAGAATCAGGTTCATGTTGCCCACTTGATATTCTGTGAAATTATTATGACCGAATACAACATCTTTGGTGCCACTAACTTTCAAAAGCAAAGATGAAATGGAAAGGAGGAAGAGATACATATTTTTCATTTGCTGCTGGAAGGAATGTGGAATATATCAGTACCTACAAAAAAGCAAAAGACAGATTATAGATCACTTACATCCGGGAACACATGAGAGACTGTTCAGCTGCTGCTGGAATTATTAGTTACTGATTAAACTATTGTAATTTTATTACGTGTACCACAAAGAAGAAAACCTACATGAGAAACAGAAATTAGGAGGGCATTTATTATGGCTAGATGTAACTGATGAAAGGGAAATAGTAGGTTACTGGGCCTCCCTCATTTCCCCAGAAAGCAAAAACAATATGCGATCATCTAATCTGATTCCAGAGAATTACTAAATCCCAGTAAAATATTGGAAATAATTTTTTTCCCCACCAAAGCCACCCTATTTTCACCTACGAAATGTAAGAAAATTCTGGCAAAAGTTGATAGAACATCTCTATTTCATTGACCCACAGGAAATATCTTTCCATTATCAATGTATAAATTAGAAGCTATGTCAGCATTGGGCTTCTGTAAAATAAGGAGACAGATAAAAATTGAGAGCTACCAAGCTCTGTCTCTAACTGTACTCCAGGCTGTTATTTTGAGACTTCTATAGATAGGTAACAGGGAGTTCTTTAAGTAGTGACTCTGTTCTCTTTAGTTTGCAAGTCTCCGTCCTCCTCAAGGGACATAAGATATTTTTAAGCCCTCAATAACTTTACCATTTTTTGGAAAGCTGGAATTCAACAAGATGCTGACAGGTCTTTCTGGTTTGAAGGCATGACATCTCTAGAAAGATCAGTGTAAGTGTGTTGGATGGATGTAATATGAATCAGTAAAATCAGTAAAAAGCAGAATAAAAAAGGATACTTTTCCCCTCCATTAATTAAAAAAACCCTCAATATAGGCCAAATGAGGAGTATATAGACACATGCATTTGCATCACATCATCTGAGTGAGGGTGCCCTGTTGTCTGTCCTGCCCCTATCATTACATCACCTGTAGAAATGCAGAGGATAAGAGAAGCAGACAAAGGAGAAATAAAGAAGATCTGCAAGACTCTATCCACAACATCTACCTAAGAGCATGTATTACAGCAGCCAGTAATACTGAGAGGGCAGGGTGCAGTGTGGAAGCACCGTCCCATCCGCCACCTACTCTAAGAAAGGGAGAGGGCAATATCACACAAATAATGCAGCAAAATATTTGTTTCCTGCTATGAGGGAGTGCTACTGGCTTTTTAGAGATAACCTCTGCTGCCCACTGAGCTGGTCCACTCTGAGGAGCCTGTACCTGAAAAGTAAACATCTATCTTCCCCTCTTCTTTCTGGGCTGAAACTCCCATAAAAGTCTGTGAGCTGGAATCAGATCTCCAAGAATCTAACCTACAGTTTCCTGCAGGGCATGACCAAAAGATTTTTTGGTTTCATTTAAACACTTCAGTTAAAAGGTCCTTTTACTTGAGCTAAAACAAGATTTTGGCTTAAAACAAGACTTTACCCAAGGTCTTGTATAGTTCACACTTCCCTAGACTTCCCTGAGACAGACTTGCTAGTTCACAGTTCGCATTACCAGAAACATTGAGGAAAGGAATACTGTCAAAATCCTTTTTCTCAGAAATACTGACTGCACATATAGAGTAAGTCTAGGAATAGCTTACCTCAGGTGCAGTGGGGTCCAGCACCAAGTCAAATAAATTAACAGCAATGACTCCCAGGAGCTGCTCTCCTGCCCCAGGACTCAGGTTTCCTTTGTCTCAGGCTCTCGCTTAAAATACGATGCCACAGCTGTTCCTTTCCCACCATCTGCCAAACTGTTTGTTTCGTCAGCTGTTTTCTGCATCAGTTTGCTTGTCCTTTTGCAATTTCTTGTTAATGATTGAATCAAGCTGTTAATGCTACTAGATCATGCCTTAAAAATATATGGGGAGAGAGCTCTATAAAATTTTCCAAAATGGAAGAAAGTCACCTTGACACAGCTCAAGCTCTGGACAGACTTGGAGAGTCTGGAGGAACTCAGTGACCCCAGATTGGTTTAAAGAGTTTTCTGGACAACATACAGGGGATGCAGAGTGTGGGCTGATGGATAGAGTTAAACCTAGCGTGAATTCAGAATTTTAAGGTAAAAAGCAGCTGCAACTACCTGGATGGACGGAAGTCAACGTGCTCCCCAGTACAACAATAAACATCTGCTCAGAGAAACAGAAAGAAGTGGAGACTACGTGGCTCCCCTCCATTCTAATCCCAGCAGAATGGGAGAACATTGTGGTACTAAGACTGTACAGTACCTGTCTGATAAGGGAGAATCAAGATGTTCTGCTGCTGAAGCAAACAACCATGTCAAACCCCCTCCTCAGGTGCCAAACCATGACCACCATCCTCCTCCCATTAGGTGCACCAATCAGAAATAAAAAGTATTTATTACTATTAAACTCCACCCAAACATAAAGAAAATAGTGTAAAAGTAAGTTGGGGGTAGGGAGAAAGTGGGAGAAGACCTCCACCGAAACTGCTGAGATCTTCTCCTCCCCCAGAGGGATGCCTTGAGTGAGAAATATGCTCTACATGTGTTAAATGCTGCTTTTAGGACTAGAGCTTTTGCTTGTGCTTACCCCATAGCATATTAATTAGATTGCTTCATATCAAAGCTTGTGCTTGCTTAATATATGTACCAGCAGACTGCTTTAAAACATATTTTTGCAGTAGACCCTATCACCAACAACCTTCAAAGCTTATTAATCTGTCACAATTTGTATTAATAAAACGTGTTATTCCATAAACTGTTAAAATGAGTCCTTGCAGTTGCCAGTGTAGGATAACATCTTGGCAGGACCCGCTGATTGGTCCTGGCTTTGTTGAGTTCCCCCTAACAAGGGAGGTCGGGGTACCCTCCAATCTTGTGAATCTGTTGGTGAAGGGTCTCCTTATGAGACACTGACAGACTGTCAGACACCAGGCTCTCAACTTTCCTGGGGGACTGATGAGCAAAAATCTGAACTCCCACCTTTCACATGACACAGAGGAAAAATATTAAGTCACAGTAATACAGGGTAGAACTCCTATTCAGGACTTCATCATAGCAAAAAACACAGCTTTTCAAACAATTTGAACCAAAAGGATTGGTGCCCAGAGAAGCACAGAAGCACCTGCAGCTAGAAGGAATATGCTAGAAAATTTACCTGTTAATCTTCTTCAGCACAAGGGTGAGATCCATGTGCATTAGGAACAAATTAACTGTAACAGGCTACAATTCCTCTGCTGATTGTAGACAAACTTACATTATTGTGAGGTTAAAAAAAAATCCACAATAATTTAAACTGGTAGTAATCACTGCAGGACTAGCTTGAAGATTTACCTGTAAAGAAAGGGAGAGTTTCTCCTGCCCTGCACCTTCAAAAGTGAAACTGAACTGCCCATTGCAGCACTCGGCCCCAGCTGAGCCTCCCTCTTCTCCCAGAAGTCTCTAGGGGCCAGGCTGAGCCCTGCAGCCACCTGGAACAGAGGTTTCACCCGCCCCCGGATGTAATATTTCAAAATGAAAGATCACAAAAAGGGAAAAAAGATATGCACTGGTACACTAGAGCTTACCATGCTTTTGTTGTCTATACTGACATATGGTTTTAGGATCAAAAAAAATTGCCACAAGCAGCACAGCCACACCAAAGGTAAGCTCAGAATAGCTAATATAATCAGCAGATAACCAAATCCAAACATTGGCAATGCATCGTGATGGCAGAGAGCACGTTTCCACTAGTAGTAAGATGGGAGGAGATCACAAAAATCATGCCTCCACTCATTTCCACAGGGTCACTCACGAGCAGCTTGGTTTTGCAGTTCACTGTCACACATGGATTAGTGGTTCTTTGCCTTTACTGCAAAAACCCAGGATCAAAGATAGTGTCAGAAAATCTTGGCACCTTCAGTCAAGCATGCTAAATTGAGCTCAATGAGCTTGACAAAGTATGATTTGGCAGAGCTGTGACTCCTTTACTACCTTATTGTCATGAAGAAGCTGGTGGGCACAGACCTTCCTGAAGCAGTAAATTTGCACAGGAAGGGAATACCGGAATTACCCTCACAGATCTCTTCTCTGGAAAATGAATCTAAGAGCTGTGTCCATTCATAGTGAAGAGATAAGAACTGTGACCAGACTAATGAGATTACCTAGGATTCTGATGCAGGAAATTATTATGGGATTCCTTCTGCTCTCTTCTGTACCTGTCAGGGCCATTAATAGTTTAAGAGAATTAGTTGGTAAGTGGGATGCTGCTCACAGAACTTGTGCTCTCGGGCTGGCATGACTGAAGAAGATGGCAGTTGCAATATTAACTCGATATACCAGGTTTTTATTAACTTTATTAACACTATTGATACAATATTTTCCTGATAAATGAGGAGTTTTTAAAAATATTTCTTCTGCTACTAAGTATGGTTTTAAGGATGTCTTTCTTTAGACTTCTCTCAAGTGTGTACGAGTGTGTTCACGAGTTTACTCATGGTAGTAAAGCCTGGCTTCTTAGATAAGCTAAAAAAAGCTGTGATAATATATCGTCCATAAATAGAAATTTCAATAAAAGAAACATAAAGGGTACAGTGAATGTAATATTGCTATCTATCAGAGAAAAATCAAATTTCCTTTCTAAGAAATTGATTAAATAGTCCAACTAAACTTCCAAATCAACTTCGTGAAATAAAACTGATCAAATTTTTAAGCAGTGAAGACAATATATTAGCAGTAATGAGGAGTTCACCGAAATTTTGGAAAAACTGGTATAAACCAGACTCATGATCTACTAATGTCACCATAGCTGATGCTCTAGTTGAGAGTGCTGGTTTTCATTCTGAGTATTTTAATGTCATGATGTCAATTGCAGCACCACCAGACACTGTATGGAAGTTCAGTAAAAAATCTGTAAGATATCCTTATCCATTGTAGTGCATAGAAAAGACTCATTTTGCTTTGTGTAAAGGTTAGTTGTTTACATCAGACACAGCGATCCCATTTCCTCCCTTTAGTCAGTGTTGAGAAAGAAGCAGTTCTAGAGATACTTCAGTGTACTTATCTTGGGCACCTATCTCAAATTTCCATCCGCAGATTCTCGGGTCACTGTGACGACGGCTCCCAAGCAGACCCCAGACTCTCCCCTCCGCTCCCCTCCCGAGCGCACAGACACCGCCCACAGGGGAGTGGAGCTCGCGCCGTAATGGCGCTCCCCTCTCCCGCGCGGGGCACGCTGGGGCTCGTAGTCTCCGCGCGCCGGGGGCGGGGCCACCGCCCTGAGCGCGCGCTTCTTGAAAGTGCCGGGCGGCAGCCACGCGCAGTGGCTGGGCCGGGCTGGGCCGGAGGGGCCGCTGCAGCCCCGCCAGGGACCGCCCGACTGACTGACCGAGGCCGCTGGTCGTGTCCCTGCGTCCCCCCTTCCCTTCTCTCACCCCCTTCCCCTGGCAGTGCCGGCCCGCGCCGAGGCAGAGCCACCGAGCGTGCGAGGCGGTCCCCAGCCGAGGTTTGGGGGAGCACCCGCAGAAGCCTTCCGTGCCCCTGGCCCAGCCCAGCGATCTCAGATCCGACCTGACTCGACGAGCCGTGAGCGAAGATCCAGGCTCCTTTCCCCCCACTCTGCAGCTCAAGCGGCGCCATGGGGATCCAAGGCCTGCTCCAGTTCATCAAGGAGGCTGCCGAGCCTTCCCACGTGAAGAAGTACAAAGGGCTGACGGTCGCTGTGGACACCTACTGCTGGCTGCACAAAGGCGCTTATGCGTGCGCTGAAAAGCTGGCCCGAGGAGAGCCCACGGATCTGTAAGTCTTCGTTATGTTTCGGTCTCGGCCCTCTTACAAAATAAAGTGTTGTTAGCTTGATGTTTCTTAACTAGTTTAAGTTAATAGTTTATAATAATAATAGTTTATAATAATAAAACTAAGTATATAACAGCTTCGCTTCTTACTGTTGCTTCTGAATTCTCAGTCCCCTTAGTACTCTTTTGAAATGGAAATTTTAGCCATAAGTAAATAGTTTTCCAACTGTGCAAAATAAATATTCAAGTATACATTGGGGAAAAAACTCTCTAAACTATTTTTTGTTAATATACCCATGGCTGTGAGAGTTAGTTTTTTTCTAGCGTGTCTAGATAATAATCCAATTTCTCAGATGAGATTCTGTACATGCAATTCACGTGTTTCAAATTTAGTATTATTTTCAGGCACCTTTTTTTGTATGCAATGATACTTTGTAATTACTGCTGTGACAAAGGTAATGATATGGAGGAATTATGAGAGATGGGTTGTGCTCTGAATAAGGCGTAAGACTTTTTTGCTTAATGTATTATATTTTTAGTAAGAGTAGCTTTTCTAATGTAATATAGATTTTTCATGTATACCTTTATATTTCTAAGGAAGGGAAATGAACAAAAATTGTGGTCATATTTCAGGTTCGACTCTGAAGCTTAGTTTCGGTTTGTGTATGTTCTTGTCCATCTCTGGAAAACTGGGTTGAGCTCTTATTTTAGATTGGGTATAGTTTTAAATCACAGAATGGGTAAGGTTGGAAGGGACTACTGGATGTCATCTGGTCCGACCTCCTGCTCATGCAGGGTCCCCTAGAGCACTTACCCAGATGGCTTTTAAATATCTCCAGAGAAGTAAGAGGTTCTAAAACTTCTCTGGGCAACCTGTTCCAGTGCTTTGTCACTTACACAGTAAAGTAGTTTTTCTTATATCCAAGTAGGAATTCCTGTATTTCGGTTTCTGCTCATTTCCTCTTATCCTATTGCTTGGCACCACCAAGAGAAGACCTTGGCTCCATCAAATGTTTGATTGGAGGCAAGAGAGACTTGATGCTTTGCAGATGGGTTCAAATCTTTACTCCTGCTTCTGTTGATTTGAAGAACTGTGGAGTTTCATCCAACCCTGCTACCTGCCTTTGAAGGTTGTGGAGGTCTCTGAGAGTCCTGAGAATGGGATACACTTCAGTTGAGGAAAAAATTGTCTGTCAGGAGAAACATTGATAGTTATAGGAAACTTTGGAATGCTTGAATTTAAATACATAAATATTTTATGAGCAAATCTTGTTTCCATGCACGTATCATCCTAGGCTGGCACTTAAACTATAGTTTAGCGTCCTTTCACAGTTTAAAATTCATCTGTATTATATAACTAAAGTGCTTGTCTTTCAAAATCATAGTTATTTTTCCGTAGCTCTAAATTCAATGTATTTAATCCTTTCATTCTAAATGCTTCTAAGTCCCACTCTCCTTCCCCTCCCTTCCCCTGCTGAAAAGATTACTCTTTTTGTTTTAAACAGTGTCCTTAAAATAAAAAAAACTTGATTTTTTTTTTTATTGGGCATCATTGTGATGCACTTAGTGTTTTAACAGCTATTATGTTTTAGTTCTGTGCTGCTGATATAAGATGGTCTT